CTAAAATAGCTCAGCTTCTAGAGCACATAGAGTAAAAATAAAGATAGTTTTATGATATAATGTAAACCCAAGGAATTGACTAAGTCCCTCCAGAATTTCGTCAACCGTTATAGCCGAAACGAAAATCTAGCCTACATTCAACTAAAGTCGTCGCGTAATATAACACGGTAGGCCGCCAATGCTTCGCGCTTGTACTTGGCTTCGCGACACTATCATGTCGCTTGATTGTCACTACCATGTTCCCGATGTTCGGAGGGAGGCGAGATTACTCTTCTCCGCGTATCCTGGGCCACAGCGGTCGGATTGAGACAGCAGTCTCAATCGCGGCAGTGGCCCTGCGGTAGTCAACTGCTTCCCACCGCCTCCGCGCTCGGATAAATCTACCCTGTCAGAGAGGGTGTGGTCGTGGGGACCGTATTGAGCTCTAGGGCTCGTAAGGCGAGGTGTTTGACGGCTCGCGGATAAAGTTCCGCAGCCGTCGTCACGACCCAGCTCGTAACGCAGGGCGTGCTCCCGAATGCTTGCGTCGGACGAACGCGAGCGAAATCACGACTAAGTCTCAAGTAGACTTAGAGGCGAGCTTGTCTCACGTGACAGCTGCGCCCCTGGCGGCGACTAAGTCCCGTGTGGACTTAGAAGCGAGCGGAGCTCGCGTGGATGCTGCGGCTCTGGCCGCGAGGTAAAGGCGACCGTGGCTCGCGTGTATGCCGCGGCCCTGGCAACGACTAAGTCTCGAGCAGACTTAGAGGTGAGCGTGGCTCGCGTGAATGCTGCTTCCCTGGCAGCGGCTAAGTCTCGAGCAGACTTAAGGCAAGCGTGGCGAGCGTAGATGCGGCGGCCCTGGCAGCGAGGTAACGGCGAGAAACTTAGACTCACGCGGAGTCGTAAATGCAACAGTAAAGAATTCTATCGACCAATGCACGATAGCTTTAGCGCGTAAGCTATCATCGAAGGAGGCACCCACCCGCGGACGGAGGCTCCAGTATAAATTCGAAAAAGCGATCTCGCAACCCTCCTCTTAATCGTTGAACATCGAGAAGGTGGAGATCCAGAAATATCTCTGACGAGGCAAGCCAACGTGTCGTAGATACTCTAAAGCTACGTGTAAACGTACTCAAAAACAGTGAGCCAACGTGCGAACGCACTCAAAAGGCGATGGAGAGATCTGTGGAGTTACAAAAAAATACCTGAATGAGGCAGTGACCTGATGTGCAACCGCGGTGGAGGTTCCAGTATAAATTCGAAACAGCGATCTCGCGAACCCTCCTCTTAATCGTTGAACATCGAGAAGGTGAAGATCCAGAAATATCTCTGACGAGGCAAGCCAACGTGTCGTAGATACTCTAAAGCTACGTGTAAACGTACTCAAAAACAGTGAGCCAACGTGCGAACGCACTCAAAAGGCGATGGAGAGATCTGTGGAGTTACAAAAGAATACCTGAATGAGGCAGTGACCTGATGTACAACCGCAGTCAAAAGGCCTAGAGCCGTCGCCCGCGGCGTCTTATATAGGCGTCGAAATTTAACCGAAATTTAACCGCGAGCGACGGCCCCGGCTCGGCTAGCTGTCGCGTAGCGGCGACGGCACGAAGTATTATCATGTATCTACCGTCGCCTGTTTCGGATGACCTGCTCATTGAACACGAGCTTCGCATTCTCACGACGATGCCGGCAGTAAAACGCAAGGCTTAAGAACCTTTGGCAATGTGACGCTACTTTAAGGGCGTGAGCCCGCAAGGCGTCGCCATGACGACACCCCTTATATGTATATACGCTTCTGCTTGAAATAGTGTATTCAACGGTACGACGAACGCAGTTTAAGCCCTTCGTCCTAAGAAAACACGGCGTCTCACAATCGAGATATTTTCACCTTTAAATGCGCGTGACCTTTTGCGCTTGCGGATAAGTAAGTTTCCCTCTTATTCGTAATTTGCATCGCGCATATACAGCGAGGGAAATAACGTAAGCGGCGAGCGGTATCCGCGCGCGAGCGGAGCGCGCCTGGCGCACGGCCGCCCGCCGTGCTCTGTCCGTACAGATGACAGTGTCCGTACGGAACAGTAATAAAAATTAGTAATATTAAATTAAAATGAAATTTATAAAGATAATAATATTTCTTTATTCAGATTTTTCAAATTATTATAATAATTATTTAAAAATTTTTAAATTTCATTTACAAGAAAAATATATCAATATAATTAAATAAATAATCTTTTTCGTGTATATCTACAATAATATAAATAATTACAGATAAGAACATATTTTAAATAAAAAAGATGCGCGAGACGAGATTTGAATACGCAACCTACTGTGTACGAAGTCAACGTCTTACCTACTGCGCTACCGCTGCTACTGTTTAATAATGACGATCGAACGTATCAAGTATGCCGTGGCCGATTAGAGTCATTTTTAAAAATCGATTTTTTCGAAACTATGACCCATGGGCTGAAACGGCCGGACATGCATTGTTTTTTTCGCCCAAGAACATTCTGTAAAAAGCGCAACAAAATCTCCGAAGCAGTCACCTCGTGTTCCCCTTGTAAGTGTTTTATATTGTTTTCGTATGTAGCCAAAGCAGTAATTTTAATTTTTCCATAATATTATTTAGTATAACTAAGCAAATAAACTATTTAGTTCAAATATTTCATATAATAAAAGAAAAGTCAGAGATATATATCTTTGTATGTACGCGTATATACGCATACATACGTATATATGCGTATATACGCGTATATAAAAACTATAACTTTCCGAAAGTAATTTTTCCTGACACAATAAGAGGGATGACACAATAAGAATCAATATTCTACTTATACTTGTACAGAGTATAAATATTATGTTATATTAACAGACCTATTTTTATGTAACGTCTATGCAACGTAACAGTTACGTGTAACATATAACTTTATAATAAACAATTAAATATAATTTAATCTCGTAATATCATCAACAAAACCATATCAATTACGACGAATAACCGTCTAATTCCCGATTATTTTATAAATTACTTAATTTACTAAATTACTTTAGTTGTAGTTGTACATCGTGGCGATGTGCGAAACACGTATCGTAAATTTTGTGACTTTACGACCAAAATAGCACGTCTCTACCTAGCGAAAACGCTGACGTTAATTCGACATCTAACCGATGTCGGGGAAATCTAAGTTATTATGCCTAGTCTAAATGCACGTCTAGAAAAATGGCAATTTAGACGTCTTCTATTTTGAGTAATTGAATTTTAATGTTTTAGAATCCATAATATATTGACCATTAAAAGAGAGTTTTCGAAAAAAATTTCGGGATTTTATTTTGTCGATTATTTACAATCTCTCTAGACGTCTGTTCGATATTGAATCGATGTCTAATATATATCTTTTGCTTTACGCGTAAAAATGTTTTAATTTTTACTAGAGATTTGACTTGAGATACACAGGATATTTGTTTACTGATATTTTAAGACCCGCTATACTGAACATACCCCTTAATATGATATATCACAATACTTATAATATTCTTTTCTTTCTACAAATTTCTTAATATTTTATTAATAAATAAGTTATACTTAATTTATTCATTAATAAAATTAATACATTTTAGATCGTTTTTTTTTTTTACTAAGACGTAAGATTTTTTTCTTTTATATAAAAGTAACGAGTTGCTCTATTGTCTTGTAAATTTTAGCTCGTAATCGCTATCGTGCGCGTTTTGCATAAAAAAATTTATTGTAAGTGGAGACGTCAGTTTTTTTTTTTTTTTAGATTTCCGTTTCAATTATAGTATTACAAAGATAGGAATGTTAGATTACTCAAAAAACATTAAATGGACATTTTGCAAATAACTACATAAACTTTAGAGATATTAAATAAAATAGATAGACGAATCAACGCGTGTATTTGCTAGGTACGTTATAATATACTGTGAACACTGTAAGTATACATTTTATAAGCATAAATTGTAAGAATATAATTGGAGTCATTGGAATCACCGTTCAATCGTCAGGTTAAGCAACGCAGTCAAGATGGATGGATGACCGCTTCGGATTCGAAATTATCGAGGGAGAATTTGCGAAAGTTTTAGAGTGTGTTTGACAATCTTCGGTTTCTAACAGTTATAAGAAAATTAGGAATTACTTTTTTTTATGAAACAATAAGAATAAAAATAAGACGTTAAAATGTGAAGGAAAAATCACAATCGCGGACATTTTTACATTATATCAAGGTTTGTACAACGTTGATTCAATGTTTCTCAAAATTGCTGCAATATTGACATTGTTGCAATTCAACATTCTTTCAACACTGATTCAACATTATTGTGCTGTATGGGTATTCGTCTTACCACGGTCGTCTAAAATTAACATCGATAAGACGTCGAAATGACGGTCTATTAGACATCGAAATGTGGACCGTTTTTAGGTCGATATAGATCTTAATTTATATTAGACGTAGATAGACGTTTCATATAGACGTCTAGTAGACGTCGAATCAACGTAACTTTTCTCGCTGAGTATCACGTACGGTGCAGTCAGGGAAGTCAGTGCTTTTTGAACGACGTCGATATCTTTTGTAGTTACCAAAAAATAAACATGAAATCCTGGCAGCATATGAGGATCTGACCGCGATGTCGAGTCGTACGTGTGCTTCCACGCTTTACTTAACGCATATAAAATTTATTATAGGCCACCGAAATTTATTTTTTATTTTGCGGCAACCACAAAAAATATTTATGTAATTCCCAAAGCCCTAGCTTGCATACCGTTAATTTAATTAGAATTGTCGATTTTTAATGATACGAATTAAGCCGGTGCGTTAAGTAAAGCATAGAAGTGTATGTCTCGACGTCGCGGTCGGGTTCTTATATGTCGCCAGTATTTTTTGCTTATGTCTCGGTAGCCACAAAAGATATCGGATTCTGGAAGCGCTAGATTCTACACAGTTTATTTAATTTGCGTTTTGTAATAATACGATCGGTATGAGTTTTCACAAGACGGCAAATTTGCAAGGTAAGTGTTGTAAAATTTTTATCGATAAAAAAAAGTTACGTTACAGTGGACATGTAATTACGACCGAACATCAATCGGGAATAATCGATAAACTGGAAATTTAAAAGAGATCGGCTTAATGAGAACCTTTATGGTCGTACGGGTTCACCGAGGAACGACAACTGAATCTCGTCTCTTCGAGACGAAGACGACTTTGTTCGTTCTATTTTTAATATCTAATGGAATACCTATGCTAAAGAGCGATAAGCTCGGAAGAATTACTCGACGCAATCGAAAATATATTATTCCGCTTGATACCCTCGGAAGGTGATAATGTTAAAAACACTCTGAAATTATCAAAATTAAATTATCTAATTATCAAAAAGCCGAATCAAACATCTGAACAATCGCTTTCGTTGTTATTCGCTTGGCGGATGCTTGATGCTTGGCGAGTTATCAGACAATTGCCAATTTTATTCTAAATGACTTCATTCATGTCTCGATTATTATTCGTTATTCAGATAATATTCTTTCTTCGAGTGTGGGGGAAGGGGATGGAAAATCTGGAGAGATTAAGTTTTATGCGTCCTTACTTACAGGAAGCAAGATCTCACATGTTTGTTTTTGACAATTTAATTGTATCGGGCAAATTATGACGTCCTTCCGCGGGACGGAAATTATATTCGTAAGTTTGCCTTGCTACGAAAGTTTCGATGAAAGAGTTTGCGCAAACGTAAATATGATACAAGAATTTCTTGAGTGTGACTTATCTTTTAGATTGTGATTTTTATTATCGTATATATTATTATCCACACATATACACAAGCGTGTGAGTATCGTGTGTGTATGTGTGTGCACGCGCGTATACATTAAATCATGGCACCGAAGTTGTCTTTCAAGTTGATCGAGGCGTTCGCAGTGAATCTAAATTCTTTCCCTGCTATATACATCTTAACACTCGGTCCTACAACTCGGTTCGTCGATCTTTGATATGCCTTGATGTATAAGATATAGAGCGATAGAATGCAGTTTCTAAATAAAATTCAAGCGCCATGAAGAAAGAATCGCCGAATAGCCAGTGTCATTCCACAATTTTTCTATCGTCAAGAACGCGCGCTCCTTGTGTGCGCAAGAATCCCCTCCGTTGAAAGTCTCAAAAGAGACTACTAGTTCGTCACCTTGCAGTCTAATTTGAAGCACACATGAACCTGCTTCTTCTCGTCGAACAGGCTAAATTGGATGTTTAGTTTCACCAGTGGGTAACTCGAACTTATCGGCATCTTCAGATTGTATCTAAGCTGATCGCCCTTCTTGAACGGACACTTGCCTTTCGACAAGGACTTGCACGCATTCGGCTGAGGATACGGGTACTCCATTATGACTCCTGCGACCTTGACCATCACTTTGGTTTCCAGCGTGTTCGCGTCAGATTCTACGAGAAATGGAACCAAATTGTTCGTACATTTTGTAATTGATTTTGAATGACTTTCCTTGCAAAAACGTTATTGTTTTAACTGTTTATTTTAATTTATAATTCATCTAACTAAAACGGGTCCGTACAATCGTCAAACAAAGCGATTTTTTTATTAAGTCACAGAGATGAATTTCGAGATATTTCTCACATACTCAAATTTCGGCATGCTGTATATTTAGTGAACTAGCACAGATACGTAAAGATGCATTCTCATGCAACAAAAATTCTGTCAGTATATAAATCAAGTCGTTTCCTTGGTAAGAAAAAGTTTATAGAATAAAATTCTATCGTTCTGTCGTTTTCTATCGTTTTGAATATGGATTTTCGTTCATGAATTCACAAATGTGAATAATATTGTATCGTATACGATACAATACAATAGATAGTGATAGAATTTTTATCGTCAGTTTTCTATGTAATACAAATAGAACCCGATTCTTATAGAACCAGACAAAATACGATAGGATTTATATCTGATGCTCGCGAATGCTGACGCTTACGAACGATAGAGCTTATAGAAAACAATACAAATTGATAGAAATTCTATCGTTCTCAATTGTTCTCTATCAACTTTTTTTATCAGGGTTAATACCATGAGATTTGTAGCAATATTGCTGCAATATTCTGATACCATGAAAATTGCTGTTTTCTTTTTGTCTTTGCCAAAAAGAGAATATAATGTTTTAATCTCAATTATTGCAAAAATTAAAACAAAATATTTTTATTAATATTATGGCCTAATGAATGGCTTAATTTCTTGAAGCAAACTAATAGCATATCTGAATATATTTGAGTCATATTTAGGTATTTACTAGAGGATTTCGAAAGTGTGCGAGCGACCTAAACTATTCCCGTTTTTCGATTTTTTTTCTCTCGCACTTTTTCATTAATGTAGACGTAAATTTTCACTACCTTCTGACAGATTTACGCTCGTCCGACTAATAAAAAAGAGTACCTACATATTGCTACGTCTAACAATTTTATCGTCGACTCCGCCGCGTCCTATCTATCTGTTTGTCTCTGTTTTCATTCATACGATAAGCCGCTATTGAATTAGCGGCAGAGGTACGTATAACTACGTATTACTTACTAGCATCAAAGTCCCATTCCGCAATCAAGTCGGTCCCTTTGTGGAGGCTGCAAGGAGACTTGTCACATCCTTCCACCCGCAATGACGTCGGCAAAGGTCCATCGGAACACGGCGCGTAAGGAGTGTCCTGAATAGACGCCGCAACGCAGAACGCAACAATTATACAAGCTGAAAATAAATCCAAAGTGCACAATATTGTATGTATGCATCGATACATAATAATGATAAAAATTCGTAAAATTAACAGATCGACAAATTACCGAAAGCGTAAACTCTCATGATCTCCTCAAGTGTTACGAGATATTGATACAATGTCGATGTCGGTGACACGTTATTTGATTTACGCTCGAAGCGAGCCGGCTATTTATTCCGACTGTTAATATCTAATCAGACACCTGTCAGCCCTAAAAAGCGATAAACACGAGATCGAAAAAGAAAAAAAGTAATCGGGGCACTCGAAAGTCAACACCTGCGCTGATGTTGCAAGTTTATAGAAATTATCTGCCGTCGTGGCTATTCATTGTGCATAAACGAGCGATTAAAGTAATCCATAAGCAATTAAATAGCAGTTATTAATTTTGATAAGTCGAATTACAAATTGAAAGATACATATGTATAGCTCGACGTGCGATACGATGTTTTTACGACGATTAAGAAGATGTTGAAATCGATGACCAACTCGAACAATGTCGAGGGAGCACAGAGATATTCATCATTAATATTCATCATTATTTTATCCTTTTCGTATTTCTTGTACATACGGATCTTACGTAATTGTGCCCCGCAACAAAGATGTCCAAAATATATCATAGGAATATCCTAAAGATATATTTGAGATATGCGATATATCTTCAAGATATCCCTATGATATATTTGGGATATTTCTGCTGTGTGAGGTGTTGTTTTGTTTTACTATATGCGAGAAACCTAACCATGCATGTGTAGAGATCTTTCTACAAACTTTTCATCAACATATTTTTATGCTTCTGAATTCAGGTGCGAAGGTGTCAGCAATGTTCTTCAACATTTTTTCTCTTTGGAGCATCCACACTTTCGGTATGTACAAACTACAAGACTTTTAGCTTCGGCAAATATTACGCTAACTTACTTGAGATTTTATATTAAAAATTTCTTTTTTGTTTCTGTCACACATTGAGCAATGCTCCTATTTATTTTTGCACATATTTTCATTGCGTAAAAGCATTCGTACTTCTGTACAATCGATACGACATAAACTTTTCAGAAAACCGTCAGTATAGTTGTCAGTAAAGTTTTCAGCATTCTCTTAATGCTTCGTTTCATCTCCTTTCAAAACGTTCTTGTCGTATCGCAAAATGCCTCGAATAAAAATCTCGTAAACTTTCCCGACGAAAAAAATATACGTTACAGTGATTATTTCTCTATTTACAAGCTTTATTTACAAGAGAAAATTATTTGGTGAAAGCTATCTGGCGGAAGGATTGGGTAGTGTGGTTTGCTCCATAACAGAGCCATTGTACAATATCTTAGATATTTCCGTATAATCTTGTATAACACGTTCTTATTCTCATTATTATAGACAATATAATGATATATATCATAATATACATTATTATTGCCTAATTCCGCGTAAATGATATTGAATATATCATGCTCATCATCATATGTATTTCTCTTGTACATATACAGAGTATCCCAGACTCTACTCCGCACGTTTTGTGAGAACATGGAAGGTGAACATGAAAGTCCTATATCGTTTTGCGATATTCGCGATAATAGTTGAGATATTAATTAAGGAAGATTGATCGCGCGCGATGTGATAGATGAGTTATAATGGCGATTTGTGCTATTATGTGCATTAGATGAAATTGAATAAAACCCTTTATCATTTTGCTAATCTACCACGTAGATTTTTAATTATTAATGAAAGAAAATTGTTACATGATTCCACGCGATAATGCACAAATCTTCTTTAATTAATACCTAAAAATCTATGTGGTCAATTTGCAAAATAGTGAAGAACTCTTTTTTTCACTTTATCCTAATGTATAAGTTGTACAACGGCAGACGGCGCTACTACAGCTCATCTACTCCATATCGCGTGTGATTATTCACCAATCTTCTTCAATTAATATCTCGAGATTTATTGCGAATATCGCAAAACAGTGTGAAACTTTTATGTTCGCCTCAATCCGTTCTATGTTTCCACAAACATTGCGGAAGAGAGTCCAGGACACCCTGTATATAATTTTTGATATTAAATCCAGAAATAATTGAAACACTTCTCTGCAGACCGTCATTAAATGCGCACTTTTCAAAAACGTATTACTGTTAAGTAAAGTTTTCCAGAGCTTCGTAACACGAAGCTTCCATTTTCGAGAAGCACAGATTTTACAGTAGTTGTTTCCTCATTGACCCCTGACATTTCTCTTTTTCTTTCTTACTAAAACGAAATCACTGTAATTTTGCGATAATATAGTAAATTGATCAACAGTTTTCGGTGTTTTTTCCAAAGATCCTGCTCGCATTGGTAAGAGCGATGAAAACATGTATCAACTAGGCTTAGCAACAGATAATCAGAGTCAACTGCTGATAATTTGTCGACATTGATTCGTTCCCGCCCAGCTGTATTTGCTATTATCAGCAAATACAAAAAGTTGCAGTATCGTGCGTGAAAAGAAGAAATGTCGAGACACTCGGTGGATGTCGATCGTGGATCACGGCTCGCTGGTCGGCTTACGCCAAGAGGGAGTATTCACAAATCTATTTATCAATCTGTCGCGTAGGCATGTTGGCGTGTACCTAAACGATGTATAATAGAAGAAATATTTCCACGACTCGCATCTGAAAATAAACGTAGTGAAAATTATCATTAATTACATGTATTTTCGATAATACCGCGCTCTCGATATTTTTTCGATAGAAAAAAGATCCTAGTCGTTACGGCAATTGGTGCGAGAAAATATCGTAGTTGGCACGACATTAAGCGTACTTTATGTGTGTTAAAACAAAAATATAATAAATAATGAAGTGGCTGTGTGTATGTACATCTCAACTGACCAGACGACAACTCACTTGTAAACCGCTGACGGATAAACATCGAGAAGGGCATTGTCAAAAATATCGTAGATATTCGAATTCGTCACACGCTTCAGATCGTCTTGGCCCGCTACGAAAGAATAGTACTCCACATATCGAGCAAAATAATCATCGTAGAAAATGATCCCTTCGGATCTCATCGATCGTTCCATTTCGTTGAAATATTGTCGTTGACGCGCCATAATGTTGCTCTCTCTCGTAAAATTACCTGTATTGTTGCGAACAAACATGTCTTCAGCGATGATGTCGGACAGTGATCATGGAGGGAAACACGATAATGGCGATTAGAAAAAAGAGCACTACCGTTCGTGAAAAACTTGACTTTAGAAAATTTTACGTTCCAAACAATATAGAAGGTTTTTTACTTAGTTTTCCATTTTCTTGTTATAATTGCACTTTTATTTACTCTTTGTATATTATTTGTACTTGTGTCATTTTTTCTCCACATTACAAATTGAACTTTTGAAGTTTCGTTATAGAAAAATCTGAGCTTTTCACAAAAAATAAGTTCTGCATAACAATTGAAAGATCGATTTCGTATCTTCGAGAAATGCTTCTTTCCTCCGCGCAAACGCTGCATTCAATTTCGGGCATTTTGCACCCACCGGGTATGAAGGAGATCACCTTGACGTCGTATTTGGCAAGCTCTACCCGAAGAGAGATGGACCATGCGCGGAGAGCAGCCTTTGTCGCACAGTACACGCTCAGACCCGGTAAGAATTCCTCGGCACAGTGACTACTTATCACGATGATCCTACTCTTGTTCGATAATATAACCGACATGAGAATCTGTGTGACTCTCATCGTCCCTATTAAATTTACTCCTATTTGACGCTTCACGTGCTGCTCCGTTTGCCAGTCGAATTCACCGAAGATCATCACTCCGGCGTTATTTATCAATGCATACAGGTCTACGAACCGAGTGTCGATCGTACAATCAGAAACAATGAGGAAATAATTCAACTCGAAGGAAGAGTGACTTGTGCGACACAGCACAATAACTCTTCTCTATTTCCTTTTTTCATTTTATCTTAATTTAAAAAGGTCCTTTAAAAAGGTATCTTTAAAAGGTATCTTTAAAGGTATATCTTTAAAAGGTATATTTAAAAAAGTATTTTAATTTAAAACGAGAAACAATGAAGCGTGACAATGTCTTCTTCTCGCAGGAGAAAGAGACAACGCTCCAATAGATTTTCATGAAAAGTTCCGTGATATTTATAAGAATTCAAATCAAGTATCTACGGTCAATGCTGTCTCTTATCTTGAGAAGAGAACATCCCCGCACACGATCTTCATGTGAATGAACAGTTAGATGTGCGAAACAAAATGCAGGACAAAACCGTAATTCATAAAGTCCACATTAACTTTCTCGTTACGGAAAATTCAAACGTGCAATAAAAAATTAAGAAAAAAAGAAAAAAGAGAGAAAGAAAGAGAGAGAGATAAGAAAAAGAAGATAAGAAAAAATACACCGCCCGCGAAACTTGGTAGCAATTTTAATTGTTGTTCTAATGATTTGCGTGTGATATAACAAAATGTAATATATAATAATAATGGAAATAATAAAAATAATACAATAACACAAGACACAACATTATTACTTATAACTTTCTTACGCTGAAATTTTATAATTATTATCATTCACTTCGTAATTTTAATTTCCGCGTGCGACTAGAGAAAGATCATCTATAAGAAGAAAATGAAGCAGTATCCAACAAAAGTCAACAACAGAAGGCGTTTAAGCGCCGATAGTCGCGAAAAGATAAAACTTGAGTCGTGTGTGTAAGATGTACCCTTCCCTAAGCACAGATGTCCAGGAGACGTCCAAAGTACGTTCTGAGAACGTCCTCAGGACATCTTTGGAACGTCCCCCAGGAGATCTTGTGCTGTATGGGCTGCGAATCACGGATTCGTCTCGTCCACGCTCCGACCGATCACTTGTCCTTCGTTAGTACTCACCGTGTTTCTTCTCGATACATAGGGTCTCGACATATTTTCCAAACTGCTCAATACTCCCTTCATTAGTGCTGTCGAGATGATGAACGATAACTTTGCTGTCCGTCAAATTTTTAGCAGCCTGACCATCAGGGTCTAGCACCCCCGCCAAAACTGTCGCGCCAAGAGCCTGACAGTGCAACGCCAAACTATATCCGAGGCCGGAATCGCAACCAGTTATAACTATGAGATGCTTGGAATTTAATTTCTCCTGAACACAGAGCTGATAATACCAGTAAACGATTCCTAACGAATGCAAGAAAAATTCCTTAAACTCATTCATTGATTGTTTCGATGATGGCAGCAATGATGGAATTTTTTACGAGACACTACCATGAGAAGAATTGATTTATATTGAAAGAAAAAATATTTCACGATTCCATTTGGAAATGGAGTCGCAGTCACACTTCGGGAATAAAAATATGTATAAAAATACAAAGAAAAGGCTAATAAATGAAACAATATAGAAAGAACTGCGTGGTCGGTTCTACTTATTGGATCTATCCTGTATAGAAACCAACTATTTACAACAATGATCGTGTGTATCTTGACGAGCGACGTATTCTCTACATAAGCAAATGTTAAGTGTTTAATTGTACGTATTAACAAGTCGAAACGAATATCATATTAGCAAGCATGGAATATAAAAAATAATTCTGCAATCGTTATCGTGCAATTGTCTCTTGTGACGTGAAAGGTCTCGGAACTTCTCGAGGTAGCCTTGGCATGTTATGTTCTCTACGTTCTCGTTCCCAAGTGGACTTTGAAGGGACAAGGGAAGGAGACGACAACGAGCAAAACAGACTCCTCTTACCCAGAAGGATCAACGAAAGTGCTGAGATCGTACGTATCTCGTATCCGGCGCTCCACAAGTACGCAAGACCGGTCGAGACCGCCAGCCCAATCTTCAGTGCCGTAGAATGTCTCGTCATATACGCCGGCCACATGTTGCCACACATGTAGCACTATCGTCTCGAGAATTATATGTTATTGAATTACAATCCGGTTTGAATGTTCCGGCTTGCAGGAGAGATAATCCGCTAGATTCAAACTGACACACTGCACAAGTCAGCAAATACTGTACTATAACACGACTGTGCAAACATCACGTCCCAATCCCTCTCTCCGTCTTTATTTCCTACAAGTAAATATATATAACGTTAGTATAGTAGATGGTACAGTATATAATACGAATATTGAGTTGAATCACGAGCAACGTGATAAATCCGTATAAAATTATATTTTCAAACGAGAGACCGGATCTAACAATAATATGTACTCGTTACTGTTTATTGACAATAATAACTTATTCTCATATTCGATAACAAATTCTCATGTTCTCATAGCTCGATACATATTGCACAGACGTTAAAATGTATTGATTTGCTATTTGTTTTGGATTTGCTATTTGTATTATTCGCGCGGAACTCGACCCAATGTATTCGACGCTACACGAATGTATATGTTCGTTTGAATAAACACCGAATATTTTGTGTGCACACGTATCGATTCTCGCGAATAAGATGAAATCCAAATCTTATTAAAGGTGCACGAAACCATAGAAGAACACTTTGAACAGCACTCATTCCATGAGAAGAGAGAATCCGAGGACGAGGCAGAGCGAACGAACTCGCGCGATCGTCCTGCGAGCAACTGGCCCGTCGGAGAGTACGGCAAAAAAAGACGCGATCCGGTCTACCTACTTTACGTCAGGCTCCGTTAGGTCCACTGCTTTTCGAAATAGTATGGGGATCTGCATAATGTAATGCAAACGCCCGACTTATCGATTTAATCTCTCGTACCGCGCGTTTCGATGTATAAGTAAGGACTCGAGTTGTTCTCGAAAAGAACACCAGATAAAAAGGGCTGAAAACGTTATAATCGAATAGCACTGGCGTGTATATAAAGAAACATCATTTTTGTCTGTAACTGTTTTCCATTTGTTGCAAATATCGCCGTTCTACAATAAATAGCGATTACTTCGCATGTACAATTTCAGGATATCGAGTTTTATTTGATTGAGTTTTATTGTTATTACAAAAGAAACGTCGGCAGACTTTGTGAGACAAAATTTGCTAAAACAAAGAAAAGAGGGTATGTTATTGCACACTTGTCTCAACCAAAAGTCCGCAAAGTAATAGTAACAATACTCTGCAACCGACGACAGAGCTTTGAATATTTCATAGGACCGCTGTTTATAGAAACCCCACACTGCTTGAGTTTTTATTTGAATTTCAATGCCCAGTGTATCGAAAGAAAGAATATTTTAAATATATGTACCCGCCGCCTTCTTTGTGACGTTCGTGCTTCTCACGCTAAGTATTATACTCTTTCACTTTCGGACTCCTTAGTTTTTATAGAAAAGTTTTTTTACATAAAAACACATAATCCAGTATAGAAAATGAATTATTTTCAATCGTTAGTTCAGTAAAAAAAAGAAAAGAAAGACATGAAGAAAACGATTACATAAAGTGTTTCATTAAATGATAAACTGTACAAATACGATGCACATATAAAGAGCCAAGTCGACTCAAACGACACATTAAAACTAACGTATATTACACCTGCAACGTGAGATTGACATACGTTTATCCCGCATGATAAATATATTTACAAAGACCGCGTTCCATTTCCCATATATGCGCGCATTTATCTATAATTCATGTTACAAATACGGTAGGAAATGCAGACAAGGAAAGCGATTCTCCATATGTTAGTTTTACAGTTTATAAATTCCTAAATAAGCCTTTACAGATTTAAATCTACAATCTCGATGCAAGATGCATGTATGTATACATACATACATATATACATACATACATATATACATACATACATACATACATACATACATACATACATACATACATACATACATATGTATATATATACAGGATGTCCCGCCACGACCGCATTATCTCGTAATGACGGATTCCTGAGGTAATTTCAAGAAAAAAATCATAATGCAAAAATATCGAGGCTATAATACTTTTCAAATTATAAACAATTAAAATTGACCAATTATATTGGCTAAAGTACGCGCGCTCAGGTACGGTACAACACATAATGGTGCATGCGCATAAATGAAAATTTGCATAAAATATGAAATTAGTTGTAAATCTCTGAAAGAAACATTAAATGTGTGACAGCTTATTGATTTTCATAAATTTGTATTGTGTGATATTTTATTCATAACATTTTGACGAAACTGTTATTATTTGCGATATGTTTATTTAAATGATAGAAAAGACAGATTATTATTACATACGTTGTTGTATGTATGGAATTTCCGTATCAATATTTGGAAAAGGGACGACATATGCATGCACCTGTACCACACTTGAGCGCGCGTACTTTAGCCAGTATAATTGATCAACTTTAATCGTTTATAATTTAAAAAGTATTATAGCCTCGCCATTTTTGCATTAGGATTTTTTATTCAAATTACCTCAGGAATCCGTCTTTAAAAGATAATGCGGTAGTGGCGGGACACCCTGTATATAAGGGTATCTCAGACCTCCATGATGACCCTTTGTGAGAACGTAGAACGGATTGAGGTGAGCAAGAAAATCCTGTGCCGTTTTGCGATATGCGCAATAATAGTCGAGATATTAATTAAAAAAAGATTGGTGAATGATCACGCGCAATATGGTAGATGAGCTGCAGTGGCGCCGTTGTATACTTATACATTAAGTTAAACTGAACAAAAAAGTCCTTTACCATTTTGTAAATAACCACATAGATTTTTAGATATTAATTAAAGAAAATTTGTGCATTATGGTATACAATCATATATGTAACAATTTTCTTTAATATTTAAAAATCTATGTGGTCATTTTTACAAAATAGTAGAAGACTTTTTTGTTCAGTTTGACTTAATGTATAAGTATACGGCAGACGACGCCACTGCAGCTCATCTGCCATATCGCGCGTGATTATTCACCAATCTTTTTTAAGTTACATTCAAAAACATCTTTTTCGAGGAAAATTTTACTCTTAGATCTATAATTCACGTTACATATACTATAGATTTAAGAGTAAAATTTTCCTCGGAAAGGACGTTTTGGAATGCAACCTTAATATCTTTTTTAATTAATATCTCGACTATTATTGCGAATATCGCAAAACGGCATAGGACTTTCTTGCTCACCTTAATCCGCTCTACGTTTTCACGAAGGGTCATCATGGAGGTCTGAGATACTCTGTATATATATATTTTTTTTACTTTACATAAAAATTAACAAATGTCACTGCACTTTACACTAGATATGTTCGCCTCCTTCGGCGAGGAGTCGCGTTTTCGTTCTTTGACAATGTTGCCGACATATGCATTTGCGTCTTGTTTACGCAAAAATTTCCCACACCTTGAACTTCCACCTAGAACGTTCTGTTCGCTCGATTACGATTCGTGCCAATAATCGTGCAAAATTATCATCATCATCATCATAGCTAATGATACATGATATATTAAATCACAGGCTTCTCGCCAAACTTCAAATTAGGATTTGCCATTACGTCAAAGCTCGGATCACCGTCCGTCGCCATTCTGCCTAACCATGAGCAGAGCAGGATGAGTCCGATCAAAAATAATACAATGACAATCGTCATCACGGTATATCTTTTGTACAAGAAACTCGCGATCCACCGTCGTACTGGCGCTTTAGTTAGTATCAACTTCCACCATCTAAGAATCCACTCTATCGCAGATTTCCGCTGGTACTTGTTCTCATCATGGTCAAAGGACATGTCCTTCGGATCGTCGTAGGCCTCGCAAACTCTCCTCGACGTCTGAGTGGATAAACCTAGGGACGAGTCTATGTTTACGATGGAGTAAGGTGGTCCAAGTTTCTGATTATTTGCTGCATGCACGTTGCTACTGGAGTTTGAATTAATAGTGCTGCTTGTGCGAGACATAGCCACCATAGACGACGACGACGACGACGAAGTGGTCGCTGTGTGATTTTGATACAAGTTCTCGACCACGATCGAGGAACGTTCTTTCTCTGGTTTTTGTTCCCTGTCATCACTTAGCTGTAAATAATGAGCATAGCTTGCAATATAAAAAAACTTACAGTTATTGTAAAATGGTTGATATTATTGCAATATGCATACCAATGGCAAACCAAGACCAGCACGGGCCCAATTAACTGCTGCCAATTTTTCTCTCAACACATCAGCAACTGGTGATACCAGTTTGGCTTGTGGGAAGATACACACTCTACACACAGGACAAGTATATCCTGCTGGTGCCGTTGTTGCTGGCAAACTTCTAGCATATTGATCCAAACATGCCCAGTGATACATGTGATAGCACGTCAGTCTTACACAATCTCCATCGCTCAATTGAGCGGAGCATAGTGTACAGATTGGATTGTAGTCATTATCATGGAGCCACAACAAGTATGACTGAACTATACACTGAAAAATTAATGGACAAATGAATAAATCATATTCCTATTTTGCACTGTAATACATGTATATGATGGACATGAGAAAAATACACACTCACGAATGTTTACTGAATCGAGTGAAGGTAATTTGCACATTGCAAATATTTATCTTTTCTGAACGAATATAACATAGAGGAAATTGATGAGCCATCTACTAGATAGGCCCAAGTTATTATTAATATACATACATATATATGTATGTATATACATATACACAAGGTGTTAAAAAGAGATATTCAAAACTTACAGAGTAGATAATACTCATTATACTGAATGAAGCGTCTGTTAAATATGGGTCATGAAAAGTCAATTCTTTCAGAGTTATAAACGTTTTTCGATTTTGGTAACACAAGTTGTTTGTGTGCTTCCATTGATCACACATGGTCAATAAACGCGCAAATATCTTACTATATTCTTTTATTATTATATTGTTTACAATAAGTTTTCTCCTACCATTTCTACATATACTTAGCGTCTTCAAATTATAAAATTTCAAACATTATAAAGTCTCAAAAGTTTTTCATCTTTAAATCTGATTGGCATTTAGAAGCCGTCGATCTAATTCTCGTATATTATATTTATAAGTAAAGAATAAACTAAACTTTTCATATATCCGTATAAAAAAATTTCGATGGATTTAAGTCAGAAGATCGAAGAGGCCATGCAACTGATCCTTCCTCTCCAATTCATTTTTCAGAAGAGAGACACAAGAAACAGTTATTATAAACATTACGGTAATAATTTGGGCTGCGTTCATTTTGGCGTTTACAACGCTCTGAGCATCATTTCATCCTTGTTTCTATCAAATACTAAACAAGAACAAATAATGCTTACACGCGCTATAAACGCCAAAACAAACACAATCATGGTACTCGTTCGTTTATTGATCGCGCGTGATCAATAGAAACGCACAAATAACTAAAATTGAAAAATATTTAAAACTTTGAAAGTGTTGACTTTTTGTTGTTTAATACACCCTTTTTATTCAGTATAATGAATTTTATTCAGTACTACCTACCCTGTAAATCTAAAATACTTTTTTTTTAACATTTTGTGTGTGACTTAGATTACAATTGCAATATGTGTGTGTGTGTGTGTGTGTGTGTGTGTATGGAAAAATTTTTCATAAATTTTAAGATAAAAATGAATGTGCAGACGAGATAATTGTGTCGATTCGATAAAAATACACATAAAAATATTTAAGAATATAATTGACGAAGGAAATATACCTTCGGGTGACTCGTAACCATACAATGCTCGCACACATTGACACGATGTTCGAAACAAAATTGATTTGTTACTCTTCTCTTCGGACACTTGCAGAGACCCATGTTGTAACTTTGTGCGAGAACGAGCGAGACAATGGAGAGTGACGACGTGTTAAACAAAATGCAACCGATGAATCTGACTCGCCGTTGCCAAGATCACTCTATCGAATTTTACTGTAGTGTAATAACATATCGCGAAGGCTCCAAATGATAGTGGCCACGTTAATTACACAGGCCATTACATCCCCATCGGCCACGTCGTCTGACATTTCTAGGCATTCAGCGATACCGGAAACAACCAATGGTCGTGCGTTCAATAGTCCGTCGTCCGTCGTCGTTGGCTCTAAAGTGCCGTACTACTACATGGGAAACGCCGACGGCGAAAAATATAATGTATAATAAACAAAATATAAATAAACATTTCTTAACTTTTCTTCGTCTTTATTTTCATTATTTAATAAATTATCATTAATAATATTCAAAGGAACTTACATACATGTAGTTAAAAAATAACCTCTTATTTTTTTATATACATAGTACAATTGAACAACAAGTCAGACGAAATTCTTATTCTCAAGTAGTAAGATTTAATCGCACATCAGCCGATCTATTTTCAAATAGCACTACTCAATAAGAAATCAGTCGATTTCTTAATTTTTAAGTACTTAAGAGCGTTCAAAGTTAGTTTAGGGTCGGAGGTATGTATACCTTTTTATGGGTTATTAACGCGTGTGGCCAAACTTTGACTAGAGTGCATATATATAATACTATTATATTGCTAATCGCCCTATGCTGCCTATAAAGGTCGTTCTACATTAGTTGCAACCCGATCGCAAGCAGACACAATTCTTATTGCGAGCCAATCAGAAACATCAATGATGCTATTGACGCTTCTGATTGGCTGTCGCAACAAGAGTTGCAATCGACTTACGACTAATGTAGAACGACCTTAAGAGGAGCTTGTCCCAGAATGGAAGGATAGACGATGTCCGAAGGAGGGGAGCGTCCCGATTGGACACAACCAACCGATGCAAAGAATTATCTAGTGATTATTAGGTCGAACCAATCATTACAATCTGTGTCCAATCGTATCGTGGTCAATCGGGTCCCACCCTCCGAGGAGTGTATTTTGACCGTAGTGCGCAGGCGCGACGATCAGATGATGTTATAGGGCGCGTTCAGCGGAAAAAGCGCTCAGTGAGCAATCAGTGATTATTGGTTCTTACTGTTAGATCTCTAAATCTAAACCAATTACATTGACGAATTGCTCAACTGTTGTGCAACTGTTAAGTTCGCTTGGCGTCATTGGCTGCATTCAGCAGACTCAACAGTTGCACAACAGTTGAGTAATTTGTCAATGTAATTGGTCTAGATTTAGGGATCTAATAGCAAGAACCAATAATCGTTGATTGCTCACTGAGCGCTTTTTCTACTGAATGCGCCCATTAAGTGGACACATTGGGCGTTTCCGATAATACCTTTCCGAGTCATTTTCCTAGAGCAGAAATAAGTTACAGACATCACCATCTACTACTATTATGTGATTCATGACAACCCAAAGCTACCTAATACTGTCTCACGACTGCAAGCAGTGAGTTAGGCAGAACAATACTGTGACAAATACACGAGATAATAATTTTGTAAAATTGTATTATTGATTATAAAATTATCTGGTGTTGTTTTTTTAAATTTTATTTATTCTTAATTAAAGAATTATATAACCATTAAAATATATATTATATTTTTCAAATATTATCCTAAAGTAAAAAGTTACACTGTTTTAACCTATTTGGAAGTACTGTTTTTACATGACTCGTGTATGTGCAAGTCCATAATAAATTATGCCATTAGGGTATATTGATGACAAAACAAGATTTGTTTGCACAGCTTGTTTTAAATTGTATGTAATTCTACAAATGTTTCTTAATGTTATTATTTTTTAATATTATTTGAGTTATTTCTTTTATACTTTAATACTCATTACAACTAAACATTTTTAGGTAAAAAATGGATGTATTAGAAATGTGGAAAATATTTTTTTATTACCCATCTGATGAAGATAATGAGGATAACTTCCCAGCAAACAATTTTGTACCAAATTTTCGCCAAATTAACACCAAATATGACCAAAACTTGATGGCAAATCCGATACCATCTGCGTCCGCAATATACTTGAGTTTTGTTAGCAAAGCTTGGTGACAAAATCTGACGCCAAATTGTCGCCAAATACCAAACAAAGTTTGGCGCCAAACTGCGCCGTACAAACCTTGGTCGGTATTTGGCGTCAATTTGGCCTTAGATTTTATCAAGATTTGTTCGGTATTTGGCATCAATTTGACGTCAAACTGCGCCGTACAAAGCTTGCTCGGTATTTGGCGCCAATTTGCCAATAACCTTTGGTTTAGCAGATGTTGTGTCCAATTTGATGACATCTCATACAGCACCAAATATCTGAAATACATCCCAGGGACGTTCCAGAGACAATGTGATATCTCTGGGATGTCTCTGGGATGTATTTCGGACATTTGTGCTATATGGGATTTTGGCAGCAAAATTTATAGTCAAGTGTTGGGCAAAATTTGCTCGAGCAGATTTGGCTATCTGGGTTCCAACCTCCACGGGAACATCATATAAAAATCCCATATTTTTTTTAAAACATTGTCGTAGCATATTCATTGACAGGTTCATTCAAAAGAATTTGAAATTTTGCTATACTACCCTTATAGAAATATCATACTAAGAATTATTGATAATTACTTATTTTCAGTATTAAAAATACTGGATAATAAGTAATTATCAATGATTCATACAGAGGACAAAAATACAAATTAAATAATTTCGATGAACAATAGGATAAGTGTGAAATTTGAGGCTCTAAGGGCTGCGTTCCAATTCAAATTCTATTCGGTGGGTAGAGTACATTTAATTAACCAATTATGATAAAGAAATCCTAGATATCTTTGTTCTTATTGGTCAATGAAATGCTATTCTACCTGTCGAGTAGAGTAACATTTCATTGACCAATAAGAACAAAGATAGCCCAGAGCTGCGTTCCAAAACTTTACTCGACGGATAGAGTAGCATTTCATTGACCAATAATAACAAAAATAACTAGGATTTCTTTATCATAATTGGTCAATTAAATGTATTCACCAAGTAGAATTTTGGAATGCAGCCTAATAGAACCTCCAACCCACTAAAAGCCGGGTGGTCGGGAGAGTGAATTGAAAACGCATTTTAAAATCTATTGTTTTATACTTCTTTTGTATAAAAGTTCCGGCCTAACCTCCGTGATGTTGAGACATGTTCAAAAACGTTGGGAACTGTAATTTTTCCGAAACGTACTTGGTGAATGGATCGCAGAGATAGGTCTGAATCCAATTAAAATAAGAAGAAGATTTCTTCTATACATTCCTATACAAACGCTTGCAGTAACATTACTGCAACGTTACAATATTGCATATTGCAGTGCAATGTTGCAGAGACATTGCAGAGTTCCGTCCGGGGGAACGAGGGATGTTGTTTGTATTACATAGAGTTTATTACAATTTGCTATGTAACAATGGCTTGCCTATGTAAAACGATGACGTAAACGGCTCATGGCCGCGATATTCGTAGTCAGATCTTATATTTAGGACCGTCTTAAGTTCTTCTTCAGATTCTCCATAGCCAATGAAATGATCCGTACAGCATCTAAAGATGAACTTAAGATAATCTTAAATATAAGAACGGACTATGAATTATAAATACCTTATGGCTCCTACCCACAGTACGCAGCAACGCTTGCCGCGCGGCGGAAGTTCATGCAACAGCCAATCAATATGTTGTTTTTCCATGAGAGCTACAAGGTTATTACGGAAAGCAGCATATTGTTTGGCTGTCGCACGAACTTCCGCGCGGCAAGTGTTGCCGCGTCCTGTGGGCAGGAGCCATAAGTGTTTTGTATTATCCCCATATGCAGCCAAAGCAGTAATTATAATTTTCTTATAATATTATTTAGTACAACAACAAAAATAAACTATTTAGTCCAAATATTTTATATGATAAAAGAGAAGTTAGAGATGTATGCATGAAATATTTATGTAATTTTGTTAATCCAACCGCTTTTTTCTCAGTGCATAGATGTTTATCAGAAAAAATTCCTGCAACTTGTATGCAACACTAATCAATATTTGCGATAATATCGCATTATAGCAAATTTATTATATTGCAATATTGCGTTACAATATTCCAAAAAGTGGACATTTTAACGTTGCTACAATCCAAAAACAACATTGCAGCAACATTTCGCAATGAAATAGCAATATTGCAATATTGCAAAATAACATTACTGCAATGTTGCAACCAGTAATAGAAACTTTGCTCCACGAGCAGTACGCATCAGCACGGGAGGGGATACGCACACACTCACGCGACCGTGAGGCTCATGGACACATGAGTTGCAGCAACATGTGCTGTATGGGTTGTGTCGATTGTATTTAAGGTTATTTGCGCGTTGCATAATGGATTTAAATAAAATAAAATTATGCCCAAACGAAACTGGACACCTCATTGTACAAGAAAATGGATTCCCAGATAGCACAGAGAATTCTAAAAGAATTCAGTCGTATGTCACCAATTCTGAGTTCATTTTTAAGTACAAAAAGAATTCTTTTCACTGAACTGAACTCTGAAGAATTCTTTTTACATCTGAAAATGAACTCAGAATTAGTGACATATGACTGAATACTTTTTGAATTCTTTTTTAATTCTCTGTGCTATCTAGGTCCATTGCGATGGATTGCAAAAGTATTGGTCAAAATAAAAAAAACATATTTAACATAATATTTGCTAAGATGAAGGTTACGACAAAAGTCAATGTTATGACTTGTGATTAAAATTAAGATAATAATCTGGTGGAAAAAATAATGTATTCAGGCGGTCTTAGAAAAAAAATAGAAATGACTATTACCAATACAGCACAGATGCTTGCAGCAACATTGCTGCAACGTTACAATACTGCATATTGAAATGCAATGTTGCAGAGACATTGCAGAGACATAAATTCGTAAGATACTAATAAACCTTCAGCAACATTGTTTAAAAATTATTGTTTTAAAAAAATTTGTGTATACAGGATAAAACAGCGCTGCACGAAGGAATTGAAGAGAACAAACTTCTTAAGGACACGTGGGCAGAGATTGCGCTAAAAATAATAAGAAAACTGCCCATATAGCACATAATATTACATAATATCACAGTAATATATCCATAATGTTGCAATATCGCAGAAATATTACTGTGATATTATATATATTATATGATATGTGGGTACCTATATAGCACAAATCTCTAAAAGACTTCTTAAAGAGTTCCAAAAGAGTTCCCAAGTCCGCCAGAACACTTTTGGAATTCTTTAAGAAGTCTTTTAAAGATTTGTGCTATATGGATAGAGACGCCCCTTCCCCCCAATTAAAGTAGTCACTAGTCTCTTCTCTTGAAAAGTTGTCATTTTGATGAAAACATCATCGTTTTACATAGGCAAGCCATTGTTACATAGCAAATTGTAATAAACTCTATGTAATACAAACAACATCTCTCGTTCCCCCGGACGGAACTCTATCTCGTGATGATGGTATACCATTTACACTTCCGCTCGCGGGAGAGCCGAAGTTTAGCAGTAATATACAGGATGTCTCAGACTCTCCTTCGCAATTTTTGTGAGAATGTAGGACAGATTAAGATGAACATAAAAGTCCCATACCATTTTGCAATAAATCTCGAAATTAATTAAAGAAGATTGATTACGCGCAATATGGTAGATAAACTGTAGTAGCACCATAGATAAACTGTAGTAGTGCTGTTGTATACTTATACATTAGGTTAAACTAAACAAAAAACTTCTCTACTATTTTGCAAATGACTACATACATTTTTAGATATTGATTAAAGAAAATTTGTGCATTATCGCGCACAATCATGTAACAATTTTCTAATAATTAAAAATCTGTGTAGTTATTTACAAAACAGTAGAGAACTCTTTTGTTCAATTTAACTTGATGTACAAGCACACAACAGCATATATCGTCACTACAACTCATCTCCCACATCGCGCAAGATCAACCTTCTTTAATTAATATCTCGACTATTATTGTGAATATCGCAAAACGGTATAAGACTTTTATGTGTTCATTTCAATCCGTTCTACGTTGTCACAAAAGTTGCGAAGAAGAATCTAGAATACCCTATATATATATATATATATATATATATATATATGTGTGTGTGTGTGTGTGTGTGTGTGTGTGTGCGCGCGCGCGCGTGTGTGTATTTTTGTGTGTACATATATTCTTTTCATTTATTTCTATATTTATATTATAGAACATTCGGTAATTTATTCGATAAACGTACAACAAGATTTTGTGTAGTTATTTTTCCTCTTCTTTTATCACTATTTTCTCATCTTAACTGCGTGTCCAAAGGCACACTTCTTTACATGTTTTGTATAGTACAGTAATATACAAAATTAACGTCTTATAATTTTCTATAAATACGTCGAGCAACGCATAGATCTTTGCGTCGCATCGGTTCTTTAATATACAAAGCGTAAATGTGGATTTGTGTATCTCGTAGCGTTTGTGAACAATGCGCCGTTTGTGTGTGTGTGTGTGTGTGTGTCATGTATATTTTTTGTATAGTATGCGACTTTGCTCCGACGACTGGAAAGAACCTATCTACAAATCTTCCCCTCGTCATCAACGTCGCCAACGAGTTATAATAGCATTTAATACCGGCTGCTGTTTCTAGAGCACGCGGAACGCTTTATCCTTTCATACGAGATCTATCGTTTGTTCGATTGTCCTACTAATGTATGTTCGCGACATTTTACGTGTTGCCTTCGTATTCGCGCAAAGCGCGAACCGAGCACGTCAAATTGCCCGCACTCTTCGATGGAGCGCGAGCTATTCCGAAAGCGGGAACGGATACATTAAGAGGAATCGACAGGAACTTATTCAGCTAGAACGTTTAGAGATAGGATCTCTAAATTGTTTGAATAATATTGACACGTTCCCATCGATTCCTTTGTCCATGAACTCGTCGAGGAGAAATAGTTCTCGTTCTTTCGGGAATAGTTTCCTGTATCTCGAAGCGCATCGCCTATGCAAATCCTTCATCGCGTCACACCAGCTTCTCTGCTATTATCGTCTCCGATTGTTAGCGGCGTATTCCCCTGCGGATAGTGATAGTGGTCACAACTTTCAATGTATTTATGTTTGACCGGTACAGTGTCTCGAGACGATTAAAACCCGCTTCGATCGGAGACACGCTGTATGTCTCATCATGACCAAAAATGTGTTAGCGAACGATTCTACGCTAAGCTCACCTATTATGACCATCTAATCTGATTTGATCTGAGGTCGATAACAAGATGGAGGACAATTTTGTATCTTAATACACATTTTGATATCGATTGCGTCCGCCACGTTTGATTGATCACGTTGTCTCGTGTATTCGCGTATTAGAAACCGAGCGTACCGGGTAGCGTGTCGCGACAGCACACAAAATTTGTACAGTAGGTACAAATTCGTATATTCGTAGGTACAGAGAAACTCGATTGCGCTTGCATAAAATTTACGGCCTGATCGCGGTAACGAGAGGTAGAAGAGCACAGAATGTCTCAAAACACATCCACGATCAGGGTTGACACGTGTCAGTAACTCGGGCGGGACGACTCGTTCAAAATTTGAAAATCAAGAACCGTGAGAGGAGACGCCGCGACGAAACGTGGTGAACCCGCATTATTTGTGGACATTTTATTGCTACGGCCATTCGTGAAATTTCGTATTTGCGGAGAAACTAAAAGATATTATAATAGAAAATTATTTCGATCGAGTTAAGCCGCTTCACCTTTCAAGATAAAAGTGCAAATATTCAATTGAATAGACACACTACATATAACTCGCTCTCGTGATTTCCCTCAGTTTTCTCGCCTCGCGATGGCTCTTACCTAAAATGAAACGTGACACAACTCGCGATTGTCGTTGACGAAAGGTGGCTTATCTCGCTTGAGACAAGAGCGAGAAGAACGATTGCACAAGCACACGAAAGAAGAGGAGAAGTAATGTATAAAGGGATAACCGTCGAATTTCAACGCGTAACAACGCGTACGGCAACCTTAATCTCACCGGACGAGACGATCGCGAATGCGCGTATCACCGAGGCGTTTTCACGATGCGACAATCCGTCTGTCCGAATCGCGGCATACGGTGAAAATAACTCGCGAATTGACTGGGCTAATTTGACACCGATTGTTGGCTACCGATTTTTAGCCAACGTTCTGTCCGGCCAACGCGCACATCAACGACAACAGCGTCAGCAGCAGACGCAGGCTCGATCTGACGTTCGTCGCGCGGCCGCACTGATCCTTGATCTCGCTCTCCCTAGGATGCGAGCGTATGCAGGACTGCGGTCGCTTCCTCTTGAGGCCGGTGAACGCCTTCTGGCAGACCAGAGTGTTGTTCTCATAGATCACTTCCTCGGGTACGATGCTAAGCAACGGCGATGTCGTGTCACCGCAGTCGGTCTTCACCACTACCAGCAGCATGTTACTAAAGTTCACCGGTTGGACCACATACGGCCGCATACAGTTTTCATCCACATCGACGTCGTACGTATCGAACGAGGCGTTACGCAAGTACAGGTACGTCTGTGTGGACAATCGGATGGTGTTGATGGCGTGGTTAAATTGCGCAGAATAATAATCGGGTATGCGAAACACAACGGAACACTTTGAGATTATATTTTAAAAGCAATTAAAGGAGCAATTAAAGTATCACCGCGCGGTCACGTTGTTTAATTAAAAAAATCGTTAACCTATAAACGATCTCTCCTCATTCCCAAGTCGCACGTAATATAATTTTGCAGCCAAAATTATAATTTGCGTCACATATTGCCTGTATAGAAACTTAGTATTTATAATGTGGGCAAACTATAATATATAATTTTACGCATTTACCTCTTGATCGCACGCTTCCAGATGCGTTCGATTAATCACGATAGCCTCTTCGAACGATCTCTCGTCCTTCGGATCATCCGGCGACTTTTCCGCGGCTTTATCACTCTTGTGATAATTGTCGTGAACGACATTAACCTCCTCGTCGTTAGCATACGCATACGCTTCCACGTAATCGAATTCCCATATGCCCGTCTTTGCCCAGGCCCAAGCGGCTTGTCCGATCGCCCACGACATTGCTCTCTGCAAATGCTTCCATGGCTACAACATAAAAATTGCATTAACAATTTATCAAGGTCGGCGAAAAAGCGTAAAATTGTGAAACTTGTCGAGAAACTACTCTTCTCGCTCACGTTCGAATCGAGCGAAAAAAATCAACTGAACAAGACTTTTATAACATTCTTTCGATATCACCGTAATCGTTCTTACACAATTAATTTATTATAATTTTAATAATTGGAAAAATCTTCACATATTTACGTTACTGCTAATAATATATTAATACTATTGTAAGATATGATTATTTCAGTAAACTATTTTAATGCCATTAGGAACCTATACTTATGATATGTTACTATAATTACGTATTATCGTAAAGGATACTCTCACCGTAAGCAAAATATTGCCGGCGTTGTTGGTCTGCATGTTTTTGAAGCACACTGCCTGATAGTCGAAGATCCTTATCCTCTCAAAGACACCTTCTTTCACCAGACTGCTCATTATCGGGCCTCTGATCTCGCCGAAGAATTTACCGGCGTCCGCCTCGTTCTCGGCGGCAATTATATATCCGTTGTTGTCGACTAGATAGCAGGCCCAGCCGTCGTCGCCACAGTGCTTATGGCAATTCACAAGTCCCTCGCAATTAAACGTTATGTTCTGGAAAAGCGCTTGCAAGGCAGTATGCTGAAACTGGAAGCCAACCACCGCGACTGGCGCCTTCAGGTTGTTTCCTGTGGGTTTGATTGTTCCTCTTTTTTTCTTTCTTGATTTTTCATACATCTAATATCTTATCTTCCTCGTAACACAAAAGAGATCTACCATTATGGTAGGTCAAGTGTCTTGTCGCGACACGACATCAAATACTATTACGAATATTATTATGCATTTCGCAAACGTTCAGCTCAACGTTGGAATTTTATAATCCATACAAATTTGTTATATCTGACATTTTATATTCTCATCTTCGAGGTCGCGCGGAGGTGAGATCGATCCAATGGATCGAACAAGCGGATCGCGAAACTCGAATCGCTCACCGATAAATATGGCACGACTGGCAGTGACTAAAGTGGTGTTGTCGGCATCCTCGTCGTCGATTGGCACGGAGAAGACAAAGCTCTCCGGATGCACGTAGTATTGTTCGACTGCCCGTTTATACCACACCTCGTCGATGGCTCTCGGGTATAACTTGCTGAAGTGATCCTCCGGTAAAGGCATGTCCTCGTCCAAAGGGAAGTCCTGCCACCGAGTCAGACCGCTGTGCGTGGCCATGAATGCCAGAGTCACTCCGAAACGTTGCTGGAACTCCTTCCTACGGGAGAGGAGGGCTCAGTAACGGCGAACCGAGTCGTTTGCGACTTGAGCTGGCCTTTACTTATGCTTTTACGGGAGAATCTTATGGTATATGCAACGTACGGCACGCAACGATACGCACATACGATGACGATTGTGTACAAGCTTCTCAAAGTCATATACAAGCTCGCGGCTCATTTCCGCCGTTCGGCCGGATAGTTATGTTTAATGAAAAATCGAATTCGCTCAAACGATCACTCGACACGCGCGCGCGAAAAATTATATTAAATTATTATTATTTCAAATTTTCAGACAAAAACAAAAAGATTGTGTTTATCATTACGCTTTAATTTTGCAATTATAATTTTTCGCCAAAACCTAAATAAATGGCAGATTAAGTTACGCTCGTAAGTGTATGTTGTTTTATGCATCTATATCATAAATTTATAAATTGCCAGGTTATCGGCGAGATAAATAGTGTGATAAAGCCAAAGTTATACTTTAAAGTACTGTAAAGTAAAGACACTGTATTATGTTGTTATATTGAAAAGAGAAAAGAAGAAACTGTACTCCCGTAGAATGGCGCAAACGAGCGAGCGGGTATTCTCAAAGACTCTATTGCAACATATCAAACACAATCACATTGGGAAAAGTCCTCTTGCTTTCGCAGCCTTATCGTTCGCAAAGCGTTCTTCCTCTTCAGGTTTCCACTCCTGAAAGACGACGTTTGCCCTACGGAGGCTTGCAAGCTAATATGCGCCGACCTCGAAGTGTCAAAAGATAAAAAATAGGCAGAGAGAGAGAGAGAGAGAGAGAGAGAGAGAGAGAGAGAGAGAGAACCAAGAGCATATTAATAAAAGAATAAATACGAAGCGAATACTTTACGAAAAGAGACAACGAGACAACTTAAGAAAAGAAAGTTCGCGATATTTTGGCAAATACTCGATGAAATTAAAGTTGCTAATTTACTTTAACGTAAGCGTAAAGAAACGCCATCTTCTAACAAGAAACAAAAAAGGAATAAAGTTTGCAAGAATTTCGAACGGATTCTGCGACAGAGTCCTAAGAAAAGTAAAGAGAGAGAGAGAAAGAGAGAGAGAGAGAGAGAGAGAAAGAGAGAGACAGGGCCGGCAATCGTATTACAATAGTACGATATTATCAAACGATCAAGAATTAATTCGTTACTTTCTAAGAATGTAAGGTGCGTTGTGATGGCGTTACCTGGGCAGCAGATTCATCAGCCTAGCTAAAGGTCTGCATGGCGTCAAAGTGGTAAGTATATTAGTCAAAAGGAACAGGTGCATTTTCTATCCTGATAAAAACGAGAGAAAACGAACAAGAAAGAGAGAAGAACTGTGCACAAAAACAGGAAAACTAAGAAAAATACGGGGCAAAGTGTTCGTAATGTGTAAAAATGGGCGTTTGTAAATCGTAATTTTGGTAAGGAAATACGAATGACGTACGTGTGTGTGTGTGTGTGCGCGCGCGCGTGTCGT